TTGTCTCTGTACCCAACAGAACTTACTGCACTTAGTAAGACATACAGACATTTTAGTACTGAGTGTAGTAAAAGAATTAAACACATTTTCTAAGAATCTTTCAATGACAAGTTGGTACCCTTTAGCTAACTAAAGCTAAAGGAAGGTGGGAAAAGGGAATTAACTAGTATTTTGTAACCATTTTTTAATAATTTCTTATTTTCAAAACACTGCTTTTATAACAGAAGTGTTTTACACTTGCACAATATTAATTACTTTATTATACATGGAAGCCTGTGGTAGGCTGATTACACAATAAGACTGCAAACAACCAGTGGTACTTTTCTGACGTCAGAAGAGTTCATAAGACTGAAACATCACCAAAAGTACATAAGAAACTCATCAGCATAAACATCAAAGTACATTAAAAAATATAATCAGGAAAAAAATACAATTGCTAAAAAGTGGTTTAGAGCGGAGCCACTGCCTACCAGTAGCTTCAAATGGCAATTAGCGTTCATAGCAAGTTCTGATGACAAGATCCCTGTACAATACTGACTAATACACCCCTTCAAAATGTACACTTAAAGGCTGCAATTTCACCAAGAGTTCTGATGGCATTAGTAAATATACACTCTTATCTGTTACACAAGCTATGCTACCAGGTGGAATTACAACCCTTTAATATCTATAGCTTGTACATGGACATCTGTATTGGGTTTGTTTAATTAAAAAAAAAAAAGGTGATGTCAGGGATGTTTACCCTGTTTAGTATTTAGATGCCATAAGACATATAAAATGCATAATCAATTATCTACTAGATGATAAATCACTCTAAAATTGAAACCATCACGACAGGGAGAAGGAACAAGAAAGAAGGCCTAGAACTTTAAGAGGAAGTTAAGAACAAGTACCAAAAAACCAGAAGTGAAGGTGGTAAGTAATAGCACAAGTGAGAAAATGTTTTTAGGCCATGTATAATGAATAATGCATACCCCAAATTTCAATGTATTATGCAAATCCAACTTACTTTCTAATACTGAAACCAACCAACCACTTGGGTTTTAACACTGTACTAGACATTAACAGAATCACTTAATGGAATTACAGCCTTGTTACAGTTGGATAAAGAGGGTGCTTTTTTTTTTCCTCTTTCTTTTATTAAAGCTATCATTCCAGGCTTTGATCAAAGATCCAAGAATATTTGTTCTACCAAGCTGGAATGAATGTGGGTTTGGAAGTTTGGAGTATATTTAAAAGCTGCAACAAAATATAGGTAGCCAACAATCTCAGAATTTTGGATCAGCCCAGACAGAGATAGCATTTGAAATGTTTTCGATCCCTTACTTAAATGATGAAATGTATATTCTATCAGCCCAGAAAGAGCAATCTGAAATGTTTAAGATCCCTTAACTTAAACAATGAAATGTGTATCATACTATTTGTAAATTGGATATTCCATTACGGTGATAACGTACAGAATTCCCATGCGTTATTACACTTTCCTGAGAGTAAAGCAATTAGAATAACCTTAATCCTATCAACAAAGTTTTTTTTTTCTTTTTTCTTTTCTTTTTTTTTTTTCCTGTAGTTTTTGTTTTTTTGTTTTTTTTTGCATTTAAAACTTTTGGGCTATTCCCTGACAATCTATACAAGTAAGTTTGATTGCTAAACATTGTCACTTTGAATGTCAAACTATTTTTAATCTATTGATTTTGATTAAAAATCATAATACAAACAGCTAAAATCACACTAACAAAATAAACTAAATATGAAAAGTTGCATTGAAAGGGCATTACATTATTCTTAATAGGATCGTGTAGAAACATTCCAATGGCAGTGTTCTCAAAATAAAACAAAATTACATTAGAAGACTCCCAGCCTGGTCACTCTTGAGACCTTACCTGTAACTCTGGCTGGTGGGTGTCTTTACTCTTGTACTACATGGCTCACTTACATCAGACATCATATTTGTATACCCTGAGAAATCTGACACTGAAGTCCTTACTCTATGGTCCACTTCTCCATTAGAGTTAGAGATAAAGGTCATTGGCACCCTGCTGCCCGACTTAAACTGAGAACCAAATGCTTGTGCAAAGTTCTCAATCTGGTACGTTGTTCTAGGCTCTATGTCTTTCTGAGGATCGATCTGGCTAGCTAACTCCTGAGATGGAATCTGAAAGCTTGTTGAGGACTCTATATTTTTCTGTTGTTCCTTCTGGCTAGTCAATTTCTGAGATGTGGACTGGAAGGCTGATGATGTCTCTAAGTTCTTCTGAGAATCGATCAGATCATCCAGCTCCTGGGAAGGTGTCAACTGCTGATGTGTAGCATCCAAAGCAGATAAATAAAGACCTGGTTGAGATCCAAACAACATCCCAAAAGGAGGCTTTGGCAATGAAGATGGCAACACTGAGGTAACAGATTGGCCAAACCCACACTCCAAAGGAGATGTAGTGTATATCTGTTTTTCTGGAAACAGTGTGTGGTTGTGGAGAGGTGAAGACAGACTGACAAACTGGAAACCATGTCCAAGAGTGAAGCCTGCGTTAGTCGATTTTTCAAAAGCCTGCTGGAGGTATTTGGAGTATTCTTGTAACATGCTCGTTTTATCATTTGAAGGTGTTTGGGTGCCTGGGCTCAAATTTTCTTCTTGAACCAATTCTGAGTGTTCTGAGGTGTGCAAATCCACTCGTGGTTCTGTTAAATTGAAAGGGTCCTCCTTCTGCGTTTCTGATTTGCTGGAGTACTGATCCAAAATACTTTGTAAAACCTCGTCAGGAATTCCAGACTTGTCGTGACAAGACTTGATTTCAGCATTTAGAGCTGAGGAGTCAATAAGTGACAAGGGTGCCTCATTGTCCAGAACACTGACACCTGCAGACTGAATGACTGACTGTTGGGAGACCATGTGGCCTACGTTTATAGAAAAGGCACTGTTGCTGCTGGCAGTTGGTAAATATCTTCTCTTCTTTGAAAACTGCATGGCATCGTCATAATTACTACTTATCTGACCTTGTTTGCCACTTGTACTTTGGAGGAGACCAATGGTCTCCACACTATTATTGGACACTATGCCAAGTGAGCCACCTGGTTTACCAGACAAGGATTTCTGTCCAACTACATCTGGTAACGGTGACACAAAGTTAAGGTAGCTTTTGTCGGTACTCTTTCTGCTGCCTTTCTTAAAGATCAATTTTGGCACCCTCTTCTGCAGTTCATCTATCCCAGTACCAATTATGCCTCCACTGGTAGACACAGTAGGCATTTCTACTGAGTAACTCTGCATGTTTATATTGTTTGACATTTGTGATTCATTTGCTTTGCCAGTCTTGTGTTCCTTATTTTCAATAGCTATGCTTTTGGACTTCGATTTTCTCCTTGAAGAGCTGGTATTTCCCTGAGACAACACAGCCAGATTACCCATACTATTATGGTTCGATGACCCGGGATCTGCACTAGCGGCTCCTTTTGCTATGGCTTCACCACATGTGCGCCTGTGCTTCAACAATCTGTCAGTCCTTGAAAAATACTGTTGGCAAGTGTCACACTTATATGGCTTTTCTCCACTATGTGTCCTCTTGTGTCTCTCCATATGGTACTTCTGAATAAACTTCATGCTGCACTGATCACATCCAAAGGGTTTCTCTCTACTGTGAATTTTCTCGTGTCTCTGCAGTAGGTATTTCTGAATGAAACCCATACTACACTGGCTGCACTGGAAAGGTCTTTCTCCTGTGTGGATGAGGACGTGTCTCCGCAGGTGATAGGAGCTCCTGAAAGCAGCACTACAGTGATCACAGATATGAGGTTTCTGACTTGGGGAGAGGACGGCACCTTCTCCATCTCCAACCAAAGGTTTGGAAGATGCACTTGGCTTCCTCTTGGCTTTGATTCCCTGAGATTCTGGCTTTGGCCTCTTTGCCTTTTTGACGTTAGTGTCCTGCTTTGGCTCCTCGTTGCCATGGTCATCAGTCCTGCTGCTGCTGCTGCTGCTCAATAATACATCGCGGTGGTGCTGGGCTGGTTGCTGCTGGACATGCTGGTGGAGAATACTGAGGTCTTGGATGACGCCGTGGCTCCCCCCTTCCCCGCCTCCTAGGCCTGGCGATCTCTCTTCGGCCCCAGCGAACAGCCCCCCATAGTGGTGGTGGTGATGGTGGTGGTGGGACTGCTGCTCCTCGGGATCCGCAGGTTTCTCCTGTTTGATGCTCACCAAGGACTGCAAGAACCCCCAGGAGGTCCTCTGCGAAGGGAAGGCCGCGGCTGACGCCGCCGGCTCCTTCTTGAAAGTCATGTCCGGGGCTGGCGGAGGGGGGGGCTCTGCGGCCGGGGCTGCGGAGGTAGAGGAGGATAACACGCACTGCGGGGGAGGGGCGGCCGTCCCCGCCGGCCGGGTGAAGCTGGTGACCGGGGGGAGCCGGTGGTTGAACATAACCATACCCTGGGGAAAGGTGTGCTCCATCTCTGCTCTCCTGCCGGAGCCGCCGGAGCCGGAGCCGCCGCCGG